TTAAATGAGACAGGTGCATTTGCACGAACCTCAGCTATTCAAGGGATTGAGGTAGAAGAATTACAAGTTCAAAGCCCGTCTGGCCAACACAGCGAAATCCTATCTCAAAGCAACCCCTTTCTTTTCCATGTAATGGACTTAATTTTTGGTATTACTTACAGTAGACTCACTTTCATGAGAATAAAGGTCAGGTGCCAGCCCTTCCAAGAGTAACTTAAAAGCTCTTTTCCAGGGAAACAGTATTGATGACATAACTGTCATTTAACTGCTATACATTCAATAAATCTAAGATCTGAACTGGGCATGGTGGTGCATGCCTGAAATCCCAGCACTCAGAGGCTCAGGCAAGAAAATCACTGTAAGTATGAGGCCATCTGAATTCCATAGTGTGACCCTATCCCCCCAAAAAAGAAAGAAAGATAAATCTAAGATTTAAATCTAAGTCTAGCCAGTTATCAAATCAGTATGAAGATGAAAGTGGAAATCTAGAGTCCTCTGATGCTTAGGATATTAATGACAGGCTGAATGACATGGCTTGCCTTTTTAACAAAATAATTTCATGTACATATTTTCATTTGTTCTTTACTCAGCCCTATTAAATATCATTTTGTTAAGCATTATGATCATTCTCATTTGAGAAAGGAGAAAACTAAGAAAAGAGTTATACAACTTGACCAAGACTGCAATATAACAATGACCAAGCTGGAAAAGAACCGAGATCTCCTTTCCTTTTTACAGCTATTCTGATTGCATTTATTCAAAAAGGGGTACGGTAGAGTAGAATATCTGTTAAAATACAACTACTTTATTAAACACTAGCGCTCACTCTCACCTTAGAAGCTAACAATAGCATTTTGTGTTAACTGTGTATGAGAGTGATACGATTCAGCCCACAGTTTGGCCTAGAGCACATACTTCTGCATTTTCCTTACTAAAAAGAGAAGTTCCTAATTGGGCTCTCTGCCTTTAGACACTCTCCACACCACAACTTCCAGAATGACTTTCTTAAATAGTAGCTTGATTTGTGCCCAGTGTCTCAGTCTTACTTTCCAGGCCTTCCAAAATTTGTCACAAGACATAGTTCCCCATTATTCTTCATTAGGCCCTGCACACTAAGAGAACTGACCTCTCCCTGTGAACAAGACATGTCATATGTTTCTGTCTCGCTACTACTTTCTTATGATGTACACCTTCAGCCCAGAAATAGTCTTCCCTATTCACACTACCAAATTCATCATCTCTTCAAGATCCTACTCTTCTAAGAAATCTTATTTAATCCTGTTTCTTCTCAGAACTCCTGCATAACTTCAGTTAGACCTCCCTAATGGCAATTATAATACTCCATTTGTGTTAGTTATTTTTGCCTATGAATTAGTTGCCTACTAGATTAGAAACACTCAGTGAGTGAACAGTTGAAACTTTCTGTCTCATATGTTTCTCTATGGAGTACCCTGCATGAAAATAGAAATTATATATGTTTTGCTGATTTCTATATATTTAGTACTTGTCACAATGTACTTATTAACAATAAATTTTGTTTAAAGAAAAAATTAATGCAAGTGGCAATAGGTATAGGGTTTAGTTGTTTTGTATCAAATAGGAAATCAGTTGGGATACAGAATAGTGAAATTAGAAAAAATCTTAGTGCCGGGTATTTAGTTCAGTGGTACTACGCCTGCCTTGCAAGCACCAGGTGCTAAGTTCAGTCCCTACTACCAAAAAAGAAAAAATCTCTATGTGTAAATGGGCGCAGAAAAACTATTAAATTATTCAAGTTATCTTCCCATTAAGTTCCCCATTTCCACAGGCTTTTTTCTTGCATGGTATAAATTTCCATGCTGCACTACATACCAAGTCAGGCAATAGAAGCAGGGTCAGACTATTGCCAAAAGACTTTTGCTAAGCTGTACCTTGCACCTGGGCTAGTTGACTAATATGTGTATGGTAGAATAGTTTTTATTTGTAGGGCCCAGAAAGACTGCTGATGTGAAGCTGTGGGTAATGAAAATGACAAAACTGAGTGAATCACTGGACAGACTATGAAACAGGTGAATAGAGAAAGGATGCTCTATCACCCTTTCAAAAGGACAAATCAGTCAGACATATCCTTTAAGAGCATAAGCCTTTTGCCTTGCCACCTATACCTTGTGCATAAAACACAAGTAGTTGACATAAACCCCAATCCTATCAAGACTACAGTGATCACAGATTCTAGGTGCTCCCAAAGCCCATTAGATACTATTCCGCAGTCAGGGTACCTCACAGGTCTATTCAGGAAAAGAGAAATCGGAAACATTACTCACCAATAACAATGAAGTGTAGACAGTCAGTATCCCAAATAAACTCAGCATCAGAATGGACCAGAAGAACCAGGATCCTGTCAGTAGAAAAACGACCCTGGAAAAAAAGTGTTTCAATCCTTAAAACACAGCACAAATCAGTAATAATATCTGCATCAAATATGGGGAAGAGACCAGATGAGAAGAAGGATAAGAAAATGGAAGGACATAAGAAAAGCACTTTGTGAACACATCTATAAAAGCATTGGAGATAATTTCTTGAGTTTTAACTTTGTTCTACAGGCAGTTGGGTTCATCAGTGTCCTCTCTATAAGTGGTAGGATTTTTAAAAGTTACTGAGAACATGACTTTAAAAATTATGCCCTGTTTGAAATACAACACAGAAATTCTTTAATACCAAAACATAATCCCATAAATTTACTGCCTTAACAAAACTAATAATTTCTATTTTGTCAGGTTCCTTATCCATGTGCACATATATTTTCTTACATAATAGCAATAACTCCATATTAATTGCTCTGTTCTGAGTAAAAGAACAGGGTCCTTTAAAACAGTCCCTAAAGTACTATAGAAAAGAAAAATTGCTAACAATTTGTTAAGAGTAACAATGTTATTTTTGGTGTAGGTATTACATGTCAAAGAATTTATGCTTTTCCTTTGAAGGTAACAGAAATTGTTTCCTGTCCATATATGAGAAATGCACATTAAAACAACACTGGGATATCCTACTTCAGAAAGAATGGCTGTCATCCAAAAATCAAATAATAAATGCTGGTGTGATTGGAGGGGAGGCAGGGACAGGGAAGGAAGGCTTCTACATTGTTGATGGGTGTGTAAACTGGTACAACCACTATGCAAATCAATGGGGAGAAGCCTCAGAAAACTAAACATAGAAATTACATTCAATGCAGCTATTCTCTCTATGTGTATCTTCCCCAAATAGTAAAGATATCACATGACAGTAATACATGCACACCCATGTAATATAACATCATCACTAGTGTGACTTGAGGACAGAGTCATAGGGGCCAGAATTCTGTTCATGCATGTACACACACACACACACACACACACCTCCCATTCTTCTACCAATGAAGAAAATGTGTTATGTGAACATAACTATCAATCTTAAGTTAGAAGAATGAACATCACATAGTTTGTGATAAAGGAATGCTATGTCCTTTCATGGGGAGTGAGTTGTTGTGTTTTCAGTTGTATGAGTGATAATTTCATCATGTTAGATAGAAGGCAAGGATTGGTTAATAGAAGTTTGCATAGATACCAGGCTGACAATTAGAGGACTGGGTGATGTACTAATTGGGTCAAGTTTAGTGGAGCAAAAACTACATTTCTCAGAATTTTATCCCAGTATGTGATTGATTGAGATAGGATTAGTCACACAAAAAAGCATAAAAGAAATACTGGTGACGGCCCCCAGCCACTAGGGAGGTCTTCATGCAATGTCAGTATTTGGTGGTTCGCTTAGTCTACACGGAGCAACCCTTGGGCCCACATTCTCATTGCTCCTGACAAATTTTCTTCAGCTTCTTCAGGCCCTGGGCCAGATAAGTATGCAAATCAATGATGAAAGGCACCAGTCTCTCCCAGGTGACCCCATCAGTAAGTCTGGAGGCAGTGATAGACACAAGTTCTAGTTTATTCTCATGGTTTCCAATCTGCCCTCCCTCTGCTGCAGTCTGTTCTGGGCTCCAATGCTATTATTTCTTTACATATTGCTATTACCCTTTTTATATCTTTTCTTTTCAGACTGTATTTTCTCTTTACCCTCAAGTTCTTTACCCTTTTCTCTATATTTATGGACTTTAAAGTATGTCTCTTTCATTCTTGATATTTTTCTGACCTATCTTTTGTTTAACAAATTCTTTTATACTCAGTCTTATCTAGAACTAAATCCATTCACTGAATTCTTAATTTTTTGTTACTGCGTTTTCCTTCCTAGAATTTTAATTGTTCCCATTTTTATTTGTATTTGTATTTATTTATTTTTGAGACAGGAGTTGCCATGTTGTTCAGGCTGTCCTTGAACTCACAACTCTTCTGCTTCAGCCTACCAAGTATCTGGGACTACAAGAATATACAATGTTTCTGGCTTTGATACCCTTTACAAGAGAAAATCTTAATTTTGTCCTAGTCTGAACATGTTAAGGATAATTATTTATAAGTCTACATCTGATGCCTCAGTTATTTACATTTGCTATCAGTTATCTAGAGTTGCTAATATCTTTCTTGCTATACATTACTTCTAGCACTAATAGAATTTATCTTTGCTTAAGTGTTAGACATTGTATATTTTTAAATTGTGCTTGGTGTGGTGGCACATGCCTATAATCCCCACACTCTGCGAAGCAGATGCACACAGATCATAATTCAAGCCTAGTCTGGGCAACTGAGTGACTTAGTGAGACCTTGACTCAAAATAAAAAATAAAAAAAAGTGTGGAGGCTGTAGCTCAGTGTAACAGGCCTGCATTCAATGCCCAGTAGTGGGAAAAAAAACTTGTGTAAGTTATTTGAGACCTTGAATTACTTTATATCCACTCTGAGGAGGATTTCTGACAGATAACTAGAGATATTAGCAAGTAGCTTTTTTCTTTTTCTTTTCCCACTGGTGAGGATTTAATCCAGGGCCTCATGACAGGGCTCTATACAGAGCTGTATCTCCAAGCTGGAAATTCTATCTACTTTGATTGAGTTTCATTCTTTATGTTTCCTGTATGTCAGCTGCTGCTTCCAAAAAAATTCACCTCATGTACCAAGCTGTGTCTCTGGATTTACATATTTTTTATCTTTATCTTTTATTAGTACGTTTGCAGTACATGATGATTATAGTCCTTGTGAGGAGTTGGTACAAATAGATAACACATCTTAACTCTCAACTTCTTCCCCTTTTCCATCATCCCACTCTCTCCATCTCCCAACAGAATTTCTATTTTTACTTTTCTGAGGACTCTCCACACTGATTTCCATAGTAGTTGTACCAATTTATGCTGCCACCATCAGTGTAGAGGGTTCCCTTTTTCCCTGCAACCTCACTATTTTTGTTACTTGATTTTTTTATGATAGCCACTCTTTCTGCAGTAAGATGATATCTCAGTGTTGTTTTAATTTGCATTTTCAATGGCCAGAGATGCTGAACAATTTTTCACGTGACCTTGGGCCATTTGATACTTCTTCTGAGAGGGGTCTATTCATATCAGTTGCTCATTTTTAATTTGATTTTTTTTATTTGGGGGTTCTACATTTTTTTAGTTTTTTATATATTCTAGGTATTAGTCCACTGAAGAATAACTGGAAAAACATTTTCTCATTGTTCATGTTGTCTGATTACTCTGTTAGTTATTTCCATTGCTGTGCAGAACTATTAATCTGGTACAATCCCATTTGTTGATTCCTGGTGTTATTTTTTTGTGCATTTGGGTTTCAGTTCAGAAAGTTCTTACCTATGCCTATGTCTTCAAGAGTTTTACCTATTTTATCTTCCAGCAGATTGTTTCTGTCTTCCCATTTAGATCTTTGATACATTTTTATTTTAGGATTGTTTTTGCTAGTTCTGGAGAAATGCTACTGGTATTTTGACTGGAATTCCACTACATCTGCATATCAGTTTTGAAAATATAGCCATTTTAACAATATTGGTTCTGCCTATCCAAGAACAGTAGGTATCTTTTCATTTTCTGATACCCTCTTTGATCACCTTTTTCTAAGTGCTGTAATGCTAAAAAAGCCCTACCTGTGACTGACTGCATGAGGCTTTGAGGGAATGTCTAAATACGAGCCATAACGCTTCTGAATTTGGTCATTAATTCTAGGAGTCTTTCGGTGGAATTTTTGTGGGTCTTCTTTGTAGAGGATCATGTCATCTGCAAATAATGATAATTTAACTTCTTCCTTTCCTATATATTTCCCTTTTGTTTATTTATTCTGCCTGACTGTTCTGACTAATGTTTCAAGTACTGTATTCAAAAGGAGAGGTAATAGTGGATGTCCTTGTCTTGTTTCTAACTTTAGAGAGAAAGCTTTCAGGTTTTCCCCAATTTAATATAACATTAGACAAATGGCTTTTATCAGACTGAGACAAAAATCCTTCTAACTCTATTTTCTTCATGGTTTTTATCATAAATGGATGTTGGACTTTGTCAAAGGTTTTTTTCCTTATCAGGTAATTTTAAAAGAGAAAGCTAACCTTGGACTATGTGGGTGAGCCCAGTGTAATCAAATAAGCTCTTAAAAATCAGAATAGAAAGGCAGAGAATAGTGATAGAAGGGAAATGAGAAATCTGAAGTATGTAAAGAACTTTACACATAACTTCTAGTTTGAAGATGAAATAGGCCTCAAACTGAAAAACAAACATTAGATTCTAGAAGATGAAAATAATCCCCAGCTGACAATAGCTACAGAAAGAGGAACTTTAGTCTTACAACCACAAAGAACTCAGTTCTGATGAGAACTGAATGAATCTGGATGTGGACTGTAACTCAGAACTTCCAAGGAGAAGCTCAAGCTAGTCTGCACCTTGATTTCAGCCTTTGGTGATCCTAAGCAGAGAATCCAACTGAGTATGCCTCACTTCTGACATAAACAACTGTGAGATAATACATGGGTATTGTTTAAGGGTGCTAAATTTGTGGTAATTTCTAAGTCAGCAATGAAAAATTACCTATGTAACTTATTTGTTGCTTTAGAACCTCCTGGAGCTCACTTTTATATATACTACCTCTATTTGGTGATGGGACACTCCCGTAGGGATTCTCCCTGCTACTGAGTATGTATGTTTACATAACTTTGCATTTCAGAAATAGAGAATTAATAATAAGATGGGTTTGGGCACCAATAAAGCTCACTGTGAAGACAAGCCCGAGACCAAGACTCCACTGATCACCCAATATCCAAAAGTGCCTGGTCTGACTGATGAGCCACGGTGGTGTTTTAGGATCTCCCAGAATTGTGTATCAGTTCCGAGTCAAGTGTCCAGCAATTTCCCAAATTCTTCCTCAATGTATACCCATTCTTGTAAATGGCCAGAGGTTACTTGGAAATAACTAGATGGAAAAATGAAAGCAAACACTTTTGGCCATG